TTTTATTTTTATTTTTATTTTTTACATTTCTTCCAATATTACCTTTACAAAGGAACATAAGAATTATTTGGCTAGTAGCTCATCAATTTAATAATAATAAAAAAGAATAACAAATATCTTAATAAGATTAAGTTAAAATAGAGAGTTTGATGCAGTGAGGTGATTAGCTAAAATAAAATTTGGTTTTTTTAGTTATAATTTGACTAAAAATTTAAAGAGATTGATGTGGATGCTTTTAATACCAAATCAATAAAAAAAAAGTCACATTGCAATTTGAGCAAAAGTACAAAGAATTAACTATTTTAATGGAAAAATGGGAGATTAAAATAAAATTTGGTCTCAAATACACGAGTGTAAAATATAATTTATCTAAAATAAAAAAATAAAAAAAACATACACACGCAAATCACATTATCCTATAAAGAAATTTTGTTCATATATCATTAAGAAAATAGTCTTGTTTTCCTACAAATTTTCTTCTAAATTCCTTCTTCTTTTCTATCCTTTTATAGTTTAAAATTTTTTTTTTTTTCCTTGGTACTTTTTAGTTTAACTTAATTATTTGAATAACATTCTCTTGAATGATACAACAAACCAGTAAGGAGAGCAGAGATAACCTTCAGGTATACTCTGTGTTTTTCTCATGCCCACCAACTTGGTAGGTCAAATAACATTTTTAAGCAACTCAAGTCTTTGAAGATTAGAAAGGAAAAAAGAAGAAGAGAAATGCTATGATATGCTGCTAATCATATTCAATGAACTAAGCATAACAATGGATTACTTTGTGTCACAGTCATAAATCAAATTGGAATTAAAAGAATTATTTGTTTTCTTGTTTGCAAGCACTTCAACTAACTTTCCTAATAATAAATTTTATCATATTCGCATCCATACTTGCAAATAAATTAATTAATTTTTTTCCTAGACAAAACAAGTGAAGAGGTGGGTATATGAAAAATAGTTTTTTTTAATCTGTCACTTGTCATTTGAAAAAAAGCCATTAGAAGAGGTATTGTCATTTCACCATATTTAGGGCTGGTCCGCCCGCTTACAAAAAAAAGTTAAAATTTTGTTAAGAAGTTATCACTATTTATCAAAAAAAAAAAAAAATTATTTTTTTATAAATGTGAGACAACTCTCTTTGACGGAAGGCGGCTGTGCTTGACTTTGGAAGTTATTACTATTTATCCAAAAAAAAATTTATTTTTTTATAAATGTGAGACAACTCTCTTTGACGGAAGGCGGCTGTGCTTGACTTTGGTGAGGATAAATTACCCAAGCAGAGGCAAGCTTAAAGACTATGTTGTTCGGCTTAAGGATTATGTTGTTCGGCCCGTGGGGGTCATCACGGGTCCCGTTTTGATAATTCGAACCGTTCAATGTGTAGAACTCGTTTAATACTATATTCTTATGAAAAATCATGTTGGTCGGATATCGTTAACTATATGATCAAATCAATTTTGTATAAAAAAATGATGGTGTTATAGTTAACGGTTGAAAAAAAAATAATCCGATCAACCTAATTTTTTACAAGCAGATAGTACTCAACGAGTTCTACACATTGAACGGTTCCGATTAGTAAAACGGGACCCGTGGTGGCCCCATGGGCCGAATAATACCGTCCAATTTATGCCCACAAAGGAGAGAATCATATCTTCCCCTGCACTCTGCCACACTGCCCCTTACGCTGCCGACCGTAGCCTATTCCATCACTAACTTCTCCTATACACTTATTTATATAATTTTTTAATATACATTTTTTCATAAAAAGTTAAAAAGTTAATCCAAATATTCATATTTTTTTCTCAATTTTTTAATTCAAAAAAATAAAAAATACACATATTTAAAACACTCCAAACAACCCCTTAATTCAATTCAAACGTGGGACAACGGTTTCATTAGGACAAAAGGGAAAGCAATGAGCGGACTCTATTGAAAAATGCTAGTATGTGCTATATGAAATTGTATTTTAAATTTTATCCCAAAAATAAAATGAACGGGGCAGATTAAAGTTGATAAAATGTGAGCTACATTTATAATGATTGTGGACTTTTGAATAATTTTGTGTGTATTTTTTTGAGATCCTTATATTGTTGAAGAGTGTTACTATTAGCATCCTATTAATTATTTTAGATCTTTCATTTTTTTAGACTCTTACTTATAAATTCTAAAATTATTAAAAAAAAAAAAATTCCCCCAAAATAATACCAAAATTATCATTCTTGTGAAAACATTCTACTCATTCAATTGAATGCACATCTCCACACCCCAAAAAGCTTATCTCCCAAAAGAATAAGATTATATGCACCAATTAGTGTACTAACTAGTGTACCAATCGATGATATGGCATAATTTAAGAGGTTTTTAGTATTTGTAATTTGTATAATGAGTGGGATCAATAATAATGTCATAACTAGTGTTGGTATACTAGTTAGTATATTAATTGGTGTATGTAGTACCACTGCTCCCAAAAACCCTAACAAAACTCATTAAGATGATTATTACTTCATCTCCATATTCATTACTCAAGAAAATAAATGTAGGATTTTTTGTTGTTAATTCAAAATTCTCCTTTTGTGAGTTTTGCGATCTCCACGAGTTTTGATTATCTGCTCTCGAACAAATAAGAAATGTTCGGTTACTTGTTCTCGAACAAATGAACAATGTCCGAGCATGTGTTCTCGAATTTTGGTCATACGTTTGGGAATTCAGTCCTGAAAAAATGACGAATAGTTTTTATTATTTGTATAATTTTTTTTAATAAACTTACCCTTATAAGACTAATCTATTCTGAACTAAGAATACCATCAAAACTATAAATCTCCTCTGAGTTTTTATTATTGTACTTCTCTCATCTCATAGGATTATGGTTGTTGGAAAAACTTTCACTCATTATCATTGCCAGAGAAGTTTAGGTAATCAAATGGTTGCTACCATTATCGTCGGAATATTACCGCCAAAAAGTTTTCAAGATTTTGAAGGTAGGTAGGTTTTGAAGGTGTGATTTGAGAAAGATAGATAGGTGGCGATGGAAGCAGATGCTCTCATAAATCCTAACTCATGATGTAGTGGATATGCGAGTTTAATTGTGAGATGGAGTGTTCCAAAATTATTGATGTCCCTTTTAATAATTTTATTTGAGGCTATTATTGTGACAAAAAAAAAAGGCTAAAAAATTAGAGATTTAAAATAATTGATAGAGTACTAAAAACAGCCCTCATTGTTAAAATGTATTAGGAACACTGAGGTTAGCTCTATATTAATGCTGCCAATAAATCAAGTGTTTGTGAATTTGGTTCGATTCAATTGGATAAAGGCTTGACTCCACTCAACTTATTACATATATAAACAAGCTAGATTTAAATATTTAAAATCATTTAATAAACAAATTGAGCTTTTGTTGATAAATTCTACTCATAAAACATAACTCGTTTATTATTATTTAAAATAATAGAATCTAGGAAAAAAAAAAAAAACCAATCAGTGTTTGGTTTGAATTTTTTGGATTAAATTTTTTGAAAATTGAGTTTTTTAGTTTTCGTTTTTTTTGTTTTTAGTGAATATTTTTAAAATTTTAAACATTTTTTTAAATTTTTTTTAGATGCACCTTACTTAGATGTATCTAAAAAGTAAATAATTTGTAAAAAATTATTTTAAAAAATTAATAAATGCATAAAAATACAAAAAATATACTGAATTCTAGTATTTTTTTTATATTTTTGGTATTTAATAAATTTTTAAAAGATTTTTTTTACACTTTTTTACTTTTTAAGTATATTTATGTTAGGTATGTCTAAAAAGTAAAAAATAATTGATTAAAATATTAAAAAAAATTCAATAAAAATAAAAAAACACAAAAAATAAGAAAATAAAATTTTCTAAAATGTGGTTTTTTTAAAAACCTAACCAAGCAAGCTGATATTTGTGTTATAATGTTATGAAGGCATTGTTAACATAACAAAAAGGACAATGTGAAATTTCTCAAAAAACATATGGTACAATTGTCTTTTAACAATTATGTTGATATTTCCAACAAAATTATATTTATGGACGGATTACTTTTTTAGCCAAACCAAACAGATTTTTTACTTTCCACTTTTTAACCAAAAAAGCTGCATGAGATTACCAAATATGTGTAAAAGAAAAAAATAATAATAATTATAAATAAATAAAGGAAAATGCATAAGACTTTTAGTGGGGGTGCTGGGGGTCTGTTTTGATTGGTTAAAAAAAATTTTTTTTTTTTTTTCTTTTTCTTCTCCATTGGTAGCCCCCCACGTGGAGGTGGGGTGCTGGAGGTCCTTCCGTTACTGGGGTCTCCAGCATCTCTCAAAAACTTTTTTATTAAAATAGAAACTAAATTCTTTATATATATATATATATATATCTTTTTTCCACCTCAAATCTCTACACAAATTCAAAATCAGAACACAGATTACTATATTTCCACAAGGATTAGTTTAGGAACCACAGTGATGATTGGATCTTGAAGTGATTTGATAATTTAACAGCTAGCAAATTTGTGGATCATAGGACCTTTCAGTGTGATGCAATGTAGGGCAGTAATTCCATTAATACAGGGTTTTGGTACCTAAACTAAATCCTGAGGAAGTACAGTGAATAATATAATATGTGCAAACTGAATTTGTAAGGTATGTTACCTACATCTTACCTTTCCACCGTTTTAGTGGAAGTCTCGTATTTATGGCTGCAAAAGTGTTGAAGTGGGAACTTGCAAATATACCTTGTCAATAGGATAATACATTTTAAATAATTTAAATAAGTACACTTTTTAACTTTTCATAAAAAGATGTACTGAAAATTAGAGAAGTGATGTAACCCAAAAAAATAAAAAGATAAAAAATGAACTTATATAATACACCCAAACAAAAGCATACGAACAATGGTTCGTCCCTTTGGAATTCTCTTACTTATTTCCCATTAGAAGTCCAAATATAGTCTATCTAGTTTTCAAACCCTGTAATTTGTCTTCTATTAAAAGGTGAATCACACGTGAATAAAAAGGATAACTTATAGTAACCAAAACAAGATTTGAGACTTGAGATTTCTTCGATTTTGAAATTATTAACAAATAATATTGTTCAAAAATCCTCATGAAGAGTATTGTGCGCAACATAACCAATACACAAAAGCAAGAGAATATATTTATTCTAAATGCTCGGATTTCATTTGCTTTTATACACCATTACAACTGTAATGGCATTTAATCATATTGTTCACACCTTATCTTCGATACAAAATCCCCATCTAAAAGAATGATTCTCAATCTGGACTCTGCACAGCATCTGGTGATGAATGGTATAAATCAACAATCAGTTCATTTTGAACCGTCAGATTAGAAGGCCTCTTCTTTGTCAGAGTTATTTAAAGGAATAACTGTCCATAGAATGAGGTTCAGATCCTGGTTTGAAACGTACATTACAGCGCGCTATCAATGGTAGATGTAAACACAAATTCAAACACACATTAAGCCACATCATGTAATTACAACAACATTTTAAAACAAAAAATATACTGGCATAATGGAGGAACATTCAAATACCAGAAAGATGATAGAATAACATAAAGCATAGAATAGTAATTGTTTGCTTGAGGATATAGAACTTTAACGGATAGTTGAGGCAAGAAAGGATAAATGGGAGACAAATGAAAGAAATTCTGAGATCACCATCGATGCAAATGGTATTCTTAATAATAAATAAACAACTTTTCTTTAGTGAGACATTCTTAAAGAATTCCAATTTTGCACATGATATGCTTATATTGACCGGCAAACACTTCTCTCTAATGGGACCTCTTTTGATTTACGTCATTCAAATAGAAGTTAAAACCATTTTCCATACAACCCACCCTAAAATGTTTTGGAATTTAAGGTTCATTTTGGTTTCTCTTAGAAGCAAATCACTCAAACATTTCAGCCATAATAAATTGATTCCATGAGCTGAAATTTTTGCTCTCCTGTTCTAGAAATCATTCTAATAAAGGGAGTTTGGATTCTCCTTATTTAAAATATTAAATCTTTTGCAGTAAGGCTATGAAGTAAAATCTTGCTTTTTTAAAAAAGCCATCTCCATAGACATCAAATGCAATTAACCCAAGAATAGATAAAAATATAAGATAAATTTTGACATAACCCAAGAATAGATAAAAAATATAAGATAAATTTTGACATACTTTTGGCCAAGAAAAAGAAAAGAAACGAAACGGAAAAAATAAATTTGCAAGACCATGTTAACCATAAGCATCAAAGACCATTATCACATCTGAAGCTAAACAGGACATCGAAGAATTTTTTTTTTTTTTTTTGATAACTAACAGGACATCAAAGATTTCATCAAGTGGATAGTGGAAGTCTTGTGACATGTTCCACTCACAAGAGAACCACGATAGCAAATAGCTCCCTTTGCATTGTTCCCATTGATTATTATCAAAACGGAACCAGTTTTAGATGAATCATGATTGCATTAAACAAATTCAAGCAAATGCCCAACACTAGAGCCTAAGCTTTTTTTCCCATTGTATTGTTCCCACTAATTATTATCGAAACCTAATCAGTTTTTAAACAAATTCAAGCAAATGCCCAACACTAGAGCCTTTTTTTTTTTTCCCCCTTTGTATTGTTCCCACTGATTATGATTATTGTCAAAACCTAATCAGTTTTTAAAAAAATTCAGGCAAATGCCCAACACTAGAGCCTAAGTTTATTTTTCCCTCCACAAGTTCATCAATATGTGGGAAGCACTTTCACTTTCACTTTTCAATTTTCTATTATTCCCTTTCTATCCATCTCCACCATATTTATACCACCTGAAGGTTACCAAATAAGATCAAGCATTCTTAGTTAGTTCTTTCCAGGCCTCTTCCAGGGACCATTCCCATCTGCTCATCAAGCCCACCTCCCAGTGCAAAAGCATGGGAGATCGGCTTCGCCTGTCAGTAGGAGTAATGGGTACTTGCTACTTTGTTTATATACCTTGAACTCCCTGTCTTTATTCATATGTAACCAAATTAATTTTATAAAAAAAGCACTGACTATCAAAGCTACATTGTGTTTCGTGCAGGGAATGTGGCCTCTATGTTACTTTACAGTGCACCCATGTAAAGTCAAGTTTTATCACACTATTCAATTCAACGTCAAATCATTGACCGCATTAACTTAAATTTCTGTTCTTCTACGCAGATTAACTTTTGCAAGGGTCATAAAAAAGAAAAGCAACGAGGATTTCTCATGTGTTCCATACATCATTGCACTGTTGAATTGTTTCCTTTATACTTGGTATGGCTTGCCTGTTGTAAGTTACAGGTGGGAAAATTTCCCTGTGGTCACCATTAATGGCTTAGGCATTTTCCTTGAGCTCTCCTTCATTCTCATATATTTTTGGTTTGCTTCAGCTAAAGGAAAGGCAAGCTATTTCTCAATTTATTTAGGAATTTATTTACATTTTTAGTGAGTGATTTAATTGTATTTTATAGGCATCCTTATCAAATTGCATGCGTGAGAATAGTCATTTGTTTATTCATGTACCCATTTTAATATGTATGTCTAAACAAATCAATGAAGATAAATATACATGCATGCAGTTTGTGTTTCTACGTGTGTATTTGTGTTTCTATTTGTCTATCCATGTATATAAATTCATATGAAATGGATATCAAAATTTAGATCATGATTGTGCAGAGGAAGGTTGCTATGATAACAATACCTGTTATTCTAGTTTTCTGCATCACTGCAATAATATCAGCTTTTGCATTCCACGATCACCACCATCGCAAGATATTCGTTGGAAGTATTGGACTCGTAGCCTCTATAGCAATGTACGGTTCTCCTCTGGTGGTCGTGGTGAGTTTGTTTTCCCACCATCATGTTTGTACTTGTTGATCTCTTTCAATTTAAACAACGTCTTCCCAAGGCAACAAGCAAAAACGTTGCTATTAGTCATTGTTATAGTAACACATTGATATGATTCATATTGCAGAAGAAAGTAATAGAAACAAAGAGCGTGGAGTTTATGCCATTCTACTTGTCACTTTTCTCGTTCCTAGCAAGTTCCCTATGGATGACCTATGGATTACTAGGCCACGATCTTTTCCTTGCGGTTTGTGTGACAATTAAACCTTAATTTTGTTCTAACACCTAGAAGATGAAAATTTTCCAATTTCATAATACTTAAGAACTGGTTTTCTAACTTAAATTCGAATATGTTTGCAGTCTCCTAATCTGGTTGGCAGCCCTCTAGGCATCCTCCAGCTTGTGATTTATTTCAAGTACAGGAAAAGGGGAATTATGGGAGGACCACACAAATGTGATATAGAGAAGAATGGTGATAAAACCGAACAGCAGTTGCAAGTAATGGTTGCTGAAGACACTAATGGCAAGATTTGAAGAATTGTTCACATGAAGGTCTACTAGAATTGCCCTACAATTTGGGTAGTTGATCACGGTTCACTTCAAATAAATACAGGAGAACTAATGCATTCATACATGCAATGTATCATATTTGTTTATGCAAAATAGATAAGCATATGTATTAGAGTTTTGTTTCATGGTTGTCAAGATGTTTAAGTATTAGCATCAGTTTTAACACATTTACGTGTTTTTGACGGGAAACTTTATCTAAGTGCACAATAAATTTCAGTAAAATTTGCACTGAACAACCAAATTCACGTGGATGTTCCCACTTAACTGTATCACACCCTTATTTCCCATTCGTGATTTTGAATGATCCATTGAACATCCATATTTTGAGTTCACTTTCATTAATTTGTAAATGGGTCACCTCAATAAGCATTTCATGAATGAAATTCAAATAATAGCAAAATTTGAAAGCTGAAATAGAAAATTAAACAACTTGTGGCATCATTTCATTACCGTAACATACTGTACAGAATTAAGCTTTCGTTATACAATGATACACACATACATAAATAAATAAAAATTTAAAAATAGCAGAATTGGATGATGTATATATACCTACTCATAAAATCTCCATAAATAGTACAAGAGTTATCTCAAGTCCTAAATCAATCAGAACAGCACAACTCTATGCAAAACTACCAAAGCACAGAACAAAATTTTGCATAAAAGGGCGACCCAGTGCACAAGACTTGCATTAAAGCATGGTCACGCTTACCTCCATTTTCGAAGAGGTTGTTTCCATGGCTCGGACATACACTATTAGAGACGCTAACGGCAAGCCTCACTATTGGGCCAAGCTGTCCTTTCAGAACAAATTCTGCATATTTTTTCATATCAACATTGAAAGTATTTCCATTTAATGCACCATAGTACTTTCTCTACATATTCCATAGTACCTGAACTAAAAATGGAATTCCAAGATTTTGCAAGAACATGAGAAGACCAGCTGTTTATTAAGGAATAAATAAAGGGTCAATGAAAAGACCTTTTGGTGAAGAAAAATGTAAGATCATTAAGCGCTTGCAGGAAAGGGAAAAGACAAACAAACAAACAAACAAACAGAAAAATGATGTACTGACATGGGATATTTCTAATTTTTCAAACCACAGTTGTATTTTAAAGAGTATTGTAATTTACTTTCTAAGAATTAATGTATAGGGATAGAGAGAATTACAACCGAAAGTAGAGGCACAAATATTAAAGGTACATTATTAAAGCATACTAATTATTATACTAACCTAATTATTAAAGCAGCACTTTACATATTATATTCTAACATACTTAAAATAAAAAATTAAAAAAACATATGTTGGGACAGATTTGACAAAAGAAGATGAACCTCTGATGCTCGAACCCATATTTGACAAGTCACTACAAACCAGATCTTTACCCAGAAAAAAATCAATCTATAGTTCAAATTTACAGTACACGGATTCAATCTCCACCACGCAATCTAATTCTTGATAAATTATGTCTGGTTGGGTCAGTGGAAGAATTTTTTTTTTTTTTGAGAGGAAAAACGAAAATATCATTACTAGCCCAAGGCTAAAGCCTTACATAATCCAACTGGGGGATTGCTCACCCAATTGGAGGGGAGAACTCCATTTAAAAAGGCCCTCGCTGTCCAATGAGCAGCACTATTAGCCTCACGAGGAGTCCAAACAAAGGAGAGATTACATTGTTTAGCTATGATTCTAACATCCCTGATAATAGGAGCACACTCCCAAGGAGGATCATCTTCAGACACACACAGACAAATCACAGATTTGTTATTGTTTCATCCAAATTCTCTGAGTGAACCCAAATTCAACCCAAATTCAACCACTCAGAGAATTTGGATGAAACAATAACAAATCTGTGATTTGTCTGTGTGTGTCTGAAGATGATCCTCCATGGGAGTGTGCTCCTATTATCAGGGATATTAGAATCATAGCTAAACAATGTAATCTCTCCTTTGTTTGGACTCCTCGTGAGGCTAATAGTGCTGCTCATTGGACAGCGAGGGCCTTTTTAAATGGAGTTCTCCCCTCCAATTGGGTGAGCAATCCCCAGAGTACGCTATGCAAATCCAAAACAACGCTTCCCTGTAACTCATGCACTCAGCCACGTACCCCCCATCTCTCTCTCTCTCTCTCTCTCTCTCTCTCTCATCCATTTTTTTCAGTTTCAGTTCCTCCGACTCCATCTCTCTCTCTCCTCAGATCCCCACACACTCTCTCTCTCTAAAAAAAACTTGACTCTCTCTCTCTAGAACTTCGAGAATGGTGAAGCTAGCGACGGCGAGGGAGAGCAGAATGTACGGGCCGAGACAGGGGAGAAACAGAGCAGAGTATATAAACGCGGGGCTATATGTTTTCGCTACGATTGTGCTTTGGAGTGGCTTTGCTGCTCAGCTCTCTAACGAGCCCGTGTCTGGACTCGTACTTTTGCTCATTGGTTTGGGTCTTATTGTTGTGGTGAATGTTCATGATCTAATAGCTCACCTCGCTGGTGTGGATTATAGGTTGAGTTTGATGGGGTTCGATGCCCAGCTCGCGCTTGTTGAGTTTGCTGTTCCCGTGGTTCAGGCTGTTGGGACTATTCTCTATTTCTTGGGAATTCTGTTTCTTTTTATTCAGGTGTGTATGAATTATTACTGAAATGTTCTCTGTGCAATTGCTCTCTGTTTATTTATTTTATTTAAAAACAAAAATACAAAAAAGTTTAGTTACACACTATAGGTTGATTGGGTGATAAATAAATCCAACAGCTAATTGTTCAGCTCGAATTGCTAATTGTCCAAGCTTGATTGAAAACTATTTAATCAATTTCAAAATTTATTCAAATTTGATAGTTTTATATAGTTTTAGTTAGACCTATGGAATTGAATCGAGTTGACCAAGCAATGTGCAATTGATTGTTTTAAATTTGACTTGATTTAAAAATTTTACCAAACCCAAATGTGTTAAGAAACCCAAATGTGTTAGGAATTTTAACGAATGCAAATGTGTTAAGTTTGACTTGTTACTTAATGTACAGAACTTGATTGAAGTTTAACAAGTCACGAGTTAAGCTTGAACTTCGTTCATATAATTATTGAATAAATCTAATAATTAGTGTTTTTTTTTATATATATATTAAATTAAACGTTTTCTAGTTGGACTATATTATAATTAAAGAAACCGGTTTAGAGCTAAACTATAAACCCTCAATTAGATGTTACATACCTTTGAAATTTATCCAATTTTGATTTTAACTATGTTGTGAGTTTTTTTTATTTATTTAAGATTACTAACAAATTTTGCTTTAAATCTTATGTACAATTGTTAATTGTTAAACATATTCAGTGGTCATCGCCAAGAAAATAAAATAAAAAAATGAAGAAGAAGAAGAAGAGACAGAGACCATGAATAAATTAAGATGATAATAACTCAAATAAAGCTCTTACATTCCTCTCTCTTCTTTGATAGTTGAAATTTATCTTTAACCAGTGATTGGTGCAAATACATACATTTGTAATTTTATATTTAAATTTTTGAATGATTGGATGATTAAGGGGTGGTTTGATAAATAAATTTAAAAAATATACTTTAGAAGTTTTGAGCGTGAAATAGTTTTTGTTATTAAAAGGTAATTTTTGAAAAAGGAAAAAATGTGACAGTAAACCACCATACAGGGTGTACACCTGGTATAATATAATAGATTGTGTTAATGTACGGATTTGGTTTCATTTTTGTATGATTATCTTTCTTATTGTTTTGATTTCCTTTTTATTTTTCTTGTATAGCCCTCCATTAGTGCCTTCATATGTAGAGAGACTTATTGTACAAAATCTTGATGCAATTCACATATTCGTTATTATCTTAAATTATTTTCTTTCTCATTTATCATGATATATTGTAACATAGTATAGAATAAGGTCACAGTTGGCCTGCCATCTCTATGTCTCGAGGTTGCTTCCATCATCTTTTGTCTCCTATCACTTCTCTACATGTTTTCAAGCCATAACGTATAGGAAATATTAAAAACTTGTCTCGCATTATCTTTATAAGCTATTCATACTCGATCCATATATTTTAGAAGCCCTTCCATTCCATACCAATTGGTCTTGTGCTGAATGCCTCCTTCAAATCTAACATTGATTGAAAACTCCCTGCACTGCAATGTCACAATGCATTGCAATTGTCTCAAAATGTAGGAAGAAAAGGGTTACCGTTACTACAACTTGGAGAAGCATGCATTGAACATGCTTCTTGTCGGGACCCTTTTGTGGTTGCTTGGATCGACTCATAACTCTTGCCAGATCTATGAGAGAGCAGATGGGCATTTCCAAATCTTACAAGCAAGCGTCTACATCCCGTTCTTGATGGGGAGCTTGTTGTTCCTTGTGGGCGCACTTGTCAACTATGAAGAGCAGTCTGCATTAGATCATCACGGTGTGAAGTTATTGGTAAGTGATCTTAGATTGGGACAACAAATCAGTACATCAACTTCAACTAAGGATGACTTTATTGGTCTTCAAATTTATTTTTACTTCACTGCTTTTGCTTGGTTGGAATATCTAATGACATGTTTCAAACAGCTAGAAGAATCTAGTCCATCTTTCTTACAAAGTTGAATTGCGTAAATTCAAAATAAATTCTTTTTTGTCCAGCATCTAACAAACTAAAAGTTGATAATCTAAGATTTCCTTTGGCATCAGCATATAAATAAGATTTTTTTTTTTTTTGTCTTTAATGAACTTTTTAAAAAATATGTCAACTTTTTTTTTTTTTTAATAACTTTATAGTCTCATCTAGACTAAATGACCTTGAAATTAAAAATAAATAAATAAATCAAAATTTTGAAACAAAGTTAAAAATAAATAAAAAAAACTTTATCCAAAAAAAATAAAGGTCTATAAAAGTTTACTCTTTTTTATCATTTACTGGATGTTTTTATTTTATTTTTTTTAATTTTTACGATGGTCTAGTTTAAACCGATTTAAAAAATGACATTTTAGCTCAAATTTGAATTTTTTGTACTAAAGACAAAAATAGCTCTAAAAATACCCTGACTTTTCAAGAACCCATTTTTTCCTCATCATATGCAAGTCATTTGTCCTCGTAAGTTGTAATTTTTGTTTACAAACACTCTTAAAAATTGCATCAAACACTTTTGCAAAAGAGACAAAAAAAAAATAAAAATAAATAAATAAAAGGAAAAGCACCACATAAGATGCATCAAACAATAATTGATTGAATTGGTTTCATTTTGTGCAGGGTTGGACTTGGGTATGGTTGGGTATTTTTGGGAGCTTATTGTTTTTCGTAGGGGGATTAGCCAATGTTGTGAAAGTATTCAAGATGCAACAAACTGATGGAATGCGGCTTGAGAAACTCCAAGGAGGAGCGCAAGAGTGGTTGGTTAGGGAAGGCCGCGTTCCACTCATCCTCGAAGAGCAAAGGAGGAGGAGAACGGAGGTTGAGAAAAAAATGGAGGTTGACAGAAGAAAGGAGATGGAGGAAGGGAAATTGGTAGCAGCTCCAACTCCTTACAAGGATGTGCTTGTAGGTCAAGCTTGAAGTTTTTGTTTTGTCCAAAAACGGTAGTCATAGAATCTTATGGGTAGTTCTTGGATCAACTTTGCCTTCCTTTTGGTACTTCTTTGAGCCTTCTTTGATTTGATTTTCTCTCTTTTTTTGCTGATTAGAATTCTTTTTTATTTTTATTTTTGTTTGTGTTATTTATTTACTTGTTTATGCCACTGATTTACAAGTTTAAAGGAAGGAGCACATTCTTTTTTCTTTATTTGTTATTTGATGTTAGTGATTGTGTCTCAGATGGCTTCTTTCTATGTACCAGTACATATTAGAGATTCGATGGGGTGCTTTTTGTTTGGCATGTATACACTTTTTTGTACTGCTGTTTGATAAATGCTAAAATAGTATTTTTTTTTTTATTTACTTTTTAAGATAAAAAAATAAAATAAATAAAAGTTGAAATTTGGGAGCTTTTTTGATAAATTCACTTTCTAAAAATTTTATTCCATGAGCCTTTATTCTTTTTGACTATTCCATTAGGTCCTATTTGAGATAAGAAAACCAAAATACCCTTTTCATCTATTTATGTTCCATTTAGTTCACATTATTTTCTTTTGTCTCAATAAGTCCTATGGGTGACATAATTACCAAAATATCCTTAATGTGAATGTTCATATCGCCAATGTGTAGGGGCCCGGCCCATGTCGATCCTCGTGGGTGCCCGGAAAAATTCGAGCTAGGCCGGGGCGGGCCTGGCCCATTGACAATGTGAATATTCACATTGACATGTTAACATCACATTAATAGGAGTATAAAATTGGCCCGCGTCCCGTGGCGGCGCGAAACCCGCCCGCGGCCTATGGGCGGACCCGGTCCGGCCCGTTGACAATGTGAATATTCACATTGACATATTAACATTCACATTGATAAGAGTATAAAATGGGCCGCGAGACGGCCAAAAGCCCGCCTACAGCCCGGGGCGGGCCCGGCCCGGCCCGTTGACAATGTGAATATTCACATTGACATGTTAACATTCACATTAATAGGAGTGTAAAATTAGTCCGCGCCTCATGGCTGCCCGAAACCCGCCCACGGCCCGTGGGCGGCCTGGGGCGAGCCTGGCCCGGCCGGTTGACAATGTGAATATTCACATTGACATGTTAATATTCACATTGATAAAAGTATAAAATTGGCCAGCGGCCCAGGGCGGGCCCGGCCCGTTGACAATGTGAATATTCACATTGACATGTTAATATTCACATTGATAGAAATGTAAAATTAGCCCGTGCCTCGTGGCTGTCCGAAACTCGCCCACGGCCCGTAGGCGGCTCGGGGCGGGCCTGGCCATTTTTTTTTAATTCTTTTTAATTTTTTCTACCAAAATTTAATTATTTTCCACAAAAAAAGACACTAGGCCTCGGCGCGGGCCAAGCCTCGGACCGAGCCTTAAATGAGCCTTAACCGGGCCGATGGGTCGGACCGGCTTCAAAGTGATGGCCTAGGCCCTAGCCTAGGGTCTCGGACTAGGCTCGAGCCTGGGCCCAAACGAGCCTTTCCCAAGCTGGGTCAGGCCGGCCCGCGGGCCAAAAAATTAGGCCCAGGCCCTAGCCCTGGCACAAGGGTATTCGGGCTTTGGACGGGCCGATGGATCGAGCCTCGGGTCGGGCCGGTGGGCCTGGGCCTAGCCTCGAGCTTAGGTCGGGCTTGGGCGAGCCTGGCCATTATTTTTTAATTCTTTTTAATTTTTTCTACCAAAATTTTATTATTTTCTACAAAAAAATACATTGCGCCTCGGGCGAGCTGGGCCTCGGACCGAGCCTTGATTGGGCCTTAAGCGGGCCGATGGGTCGGGCCGGGCTTCAAAGTGATGACCTAGGCCCTAACCTAGGGTCTCGGACATGCTCGAGCCCGGACCGAAATGAGCCTACCCTGGACCGTGAGCAGGCTTTGGGCAGCCCACGGGCCGCGGGCCAATTCTACATTCCTATCAATGTGTATTTTAACAGGTCAATGTGAATATTTACATTGTCAACGGGTCGGGCCTACCCCGGGCCGCGGGCAAGCTTCGGGCAGCGGGCAAATTTTACACTCCTATCAATGTTAATGTTAACATGTCAATGTGAATATTCACATTGTCACGGGTCGGGCCAAGCCTGCCTCGGGCTGCGGTCGGGTTGCGGGTCAATTTTATACTCTTATCAATATGAATGTTAACATGTCAATGTGAATATTCACATTATCAACGGGCCGGGTCGGGCCCGCCCTGGGCCGCTGGCCAATTTTATACTCTTATTAATGTGAATGTTGACATGTCAATGTGAATATTCACATTGTCAACAGGTCGGGCCGAGTCGGCCCCGGGCCGCCCATGGGTCGTGGGCGGGTTTTGGGCAGCCACGAGGCGCGGGCTAATTTTACACTCCTATCAATGTGAATGTTAACATGTCAATGTGAATATTCACATTGTCAACGGGCCAGGCCGGGCCCACCGGCTTTTGGCTGCCCATGGGCCGCGGGCCAATTTTATACTCTTATTAATGTGAATGTTAACATGTCAATGTGAATATTCACATTGTCAACAGGCCGGGCCGGGCCCGCCCCAGGCCGCCCATGGACCGTGGACGGGTTTCGGACAGCCACGAGGGGCGGACTAATTTTACACTCCTATCAATATGAATATTAACATGTCAATGTGAATATTCACATTATCAACGGGTCGAGTTGGGCCCGCCCTGGGCCGCTGGCCAATTTTATACTCTTATCAATATGAATGTTAACATGTCAATGTGAATATTCACATTGTCAACGGGCCGGGTCGGGCCCGCCTTGGACCGCTGGCCAATTTTACACTCCTATCAATGTGAATATTCACATTGTCAACGGGCCGGGTCGGGCCCGCCTTGGGCCGCTGGCCAATTTTATACTCCTATCAATGTGAATGTTAACATGTCAATGTGAATATTCACATTGTCAACAGGCCGGGCCGGGCCCGCCTCGGGCTGCCCACGGGCCGTGGGCGTGTTTCGAGCAGCCACGGGGCACGGGCTAATGTTACACTCTTATCAATGTGAATGTTAACATATCATTGTGAATATTCACGTTGTCAACGGGCCGAGCCCGCCCCGACTCGGGACCGGGCTTCGGGCTACTCACGGGTCACGGGCTAATTTTACACTCTTATCAATGTTAATGTTAATATGTCAATGTGAATATTCACATTGTCAACGGGCCGGGCCGGGCCGGGCCCGCCCTGGGCTGTGGGCTGGCTTTTGGCCTCCCATGGGCCGCGGCCCAATTTTATGCTCTTATCAATGTGAATGTTAACATGTCCACGGGACGCGGACCAATTTTACACTCCTATTAATGTGAATGTTAACATGTCAATGTGAATATTCACATTGTCAACGGGCCGGGCCCGCTCCGGCTCGCGGGTAAGTTTCGGGCCGTCCACAGGCCAATTTTACATTCCTACCAATGTGAATTTTAAAATATGAATGTTCATATCATAAAATTACTAACCGTTCAAAAAATATTTATAAGGGTATCAAAATTAAATATAAGGGCATAAGTGTCCAAGAAAATAGTGTAAATCAAGAAAAAAGACTTTATGGAATAAAACTATACATACATGAGACTAAATGGGTTAAAAAATTTATTCATGAACTTCTTGAATTAAAACACTTCTAAGTGGATTTTATCAATAATTTACCCTTGAAATTTATTGTTGTGCATTGATAAAATATTTCAAATGGAGTGAGGAGTGGATTGATCTCATCCCTCTTTTCACTGACCAAGTGGTTTTCGTTTTTTTCATTTGAAATTTCTTATTAATTAGTAATTATATTATTACTATTGCATCCCAGATGTGATTTCACTGCATCAGTTACTATTACTTTTGAAATTTCTCATTAAAATTTCTCATTAGTTAGTAATTATACTATTACTATTGCATCCCAGATGTGATTTCACTACATCAATTACTATTACTATTGCATCCCGGGTGTGATTTCACTGCCTCAAGATGAATGTGGTCCGAACAATGCTAAGAACAATTGTAAGTTTAGGCCTTATTTGGGAATTAATTGTTTTTTTAGTTGTTTATAAAAAGATGTGCATAAAGTAGGAAAAGCGATATGATAATTTATAATGACTTTTTAATTTTTTTAACTATTAACTTATAAGTCCCCATACAGGGCCTTACTAAAAGATTGTCAATACGGTGTAAGTTTGTGTCTCTAAATTTATCAATGTAATATATGCATTCCCCAATTTTGTGCACAAAGTTGAAATCAGATAATTTATTCCTAACTCAAAACAATTATTTGTCAAGCAATCTCATACATTTGGCGACTTCACTAGGATACTAATTCCAGACATGAGGTCCTTATTTCCCCTTCTTCGATGCTACCTAAATGCAAAGGGATTTTCCTTATTATTATTCCCAATTTAAAACCTTCTCCAACCCTCTCTTTGATTGGCAGGAATGGGTCGATAATATCCTCTCGGACAAAAGGGCCTCTATCAGAAGCTTCAGGAGGCCCGACTATTGATTCCAGTGAAGATATCTCAATCTTTATTCATTCATCGCAACAATGCTAACCTTGAAGCCATTGGCTCTCCGGTGGAGCACCGGACACGCACTTTCATACTTGCCTAGCATGAGATGGGGCCCACCAAAGTTTAGGAGATACCATTTAGGACATGAAAAACAAGAAATAGAGGATCCCTCGTGCACAACACTAGTGTGACTAACACCCTTAATTATTGTGTAAATATTTGAGGCAACGTTTGTGTTCCACACAAAATAATCATATTATGACTATTGTAAGTTAGTATGCAAATTCCATCATTTGAAATTAAAATTTTCAAGTTTAACAATCTCCCTTATTTAAAATTTATCTAAGATGTGTTCATTAAAACTATGTTTCCACATTAATAGAAAGTTGAAGCCATTCTCTTTTCATCTTTTTTATTATTCTCTTTTCTATTCATTTATATTCAGTCAGGCATGTAAATAATTAATTGGATCTCAGATGGTGGGAATTTTTTTCCATATATATATTTTTTTAGATGGGGAAGGCCCAAGGCCAAAATTACAAAGCTGATGCCTCCATCAGAACAAGCTCTTGGATAGATGTCAGAATGTCATCCATTTTTTTTTTTAATAATACGATAGTGAAAAACTAAATACTTGAAAGTTAATATGATAACAATATAATATTTAAAGAGTCAATATGAGAAAATATTAAAATGGATTAGTTATTTAAAGAACTAATAATCGGGAATAAAATGAAATGCTAAAAATTGGGGGAAAAAAATTAAAATTAGGGGAGCAAAATGTAATTTACCTTAATTGCTTGCCAATTTACTATTTTGGCCCCATATGTACGG